GGGGGGGGGAGAACCTGCAGGCAACCTGTGCGTGGCACAATACCGCTCGCGGCGATACAGGCTGGGCCGCGGGACCAGCGCGGCCGACAAAGACTCCGACGAAAATGGCTTTGAAATGTTTTCCCCCCGCTTTACTGTACGGCTCAAAGAGTAATGCAAGGACAGCACGCTTTGCCTGCACGACGAGGAGACACACCGCACCGTCCGCCTGCAGCGCGGCGGTGCCCGGGACCACCCCGTCCCCGCGGCCCACCCACGGCTAAAGAAAAAAACAAAGCATGCGTGATTGCTTTTTGTGCCAACTTCGGCTCGCGCGCCCCCGTATCCTCAATCGCAAGGCCATTAGCCCAACGCGTCAGCGCTACAGTCGGCGAGCGAGGGGGTTGGATTGGGCTGGATGATTCTTCTATTGGTTAAGCCGGACTGGGCCATACGGCGCGTCAATTATACCTGGACGGGACGTGTCAGCCGCGGTGCGAAAATGGGATGTTACCGCCAAAAATGATATCGAGGCGAGACAAAAGTCGAAAAATCGGCATGTGGACTGCTGGAATCATTTTCGACATCGTTTCGGGCGCATCAATGGGACGAGGCCGCGGCGCGCCGACCCACGCCGCGTGAGCCACGGGGAAGAAGCGCCCGGCGCGGTGGATTTCAAGGTGACAAAACAGACAGCAGAGCGGGAAAAGGGCGGGGAGGGGGTAGGGTTAGGGGGGTTTGGAGGGGGAGTGTTGCTATGGAAAAAATGGTGGGCCATGAGGCTGGTCCTGGTCATTTATCATTTCTCTCACGTACAAGCCGTGCATGATCGTAGAAAGTCTTCGCCCCCACCCCCTTTCCTAGCAGGACGGGGCGCAGGGGGCGCACCTCAGTCTCACACCGCCGGTGTTGCGCTTCTTCTGTCCTTGTGAAGCGACAGCTGTTTCGGACCCAACGCGTACGCAGTCAGTGTTGCTGCGCAGGATACCTCACCACCGACCGAGTACTAGGGTGTATTGGTGGAGGACCGACCCACCATCTTAGAAGTTTTATACGGGGTGGGAGGAGGGAAGAGAGGGGGAGAAAGAGCATAACTATGGTGTAGTTCTGAGCTGACCATGAAAACGTTCAAGGCGATATATGTCGACAACTCTGTCAACTCAAATGTGTACATAGTACACATTAAAGAAAGTGTACATGGCATGTATGCTTTAATTAATGTGTACATAGGCATGTACACATTAAAAGATGTGTACATGGCATGTATACTTACGGTTGTATGTACACTTTAAAAGATGTGTACATAGCCATGTACACATTAATTAAAGCATACATGCCATGTACACTTTCTTTAATGTGTAACCATGTACACATTTGAATTGGCAGAGAAAGTAGGCACGTAATATGAATTTGACTCGTGCCCACGCGATCGCTTCCTTATCTATTTGAGCTAAAATCATGAACGTCAACAGTTTTCGCATCGGTAGAGCGGGAAGTGGGGGGGGGGAGGGCAGCATTACCGAGTATCGCGCAGTTGTGCGTGAATGTTGGGCCGAGTACGCGGAATAGACATGCGGGCCGAACATGTTCCCACCCGAGCGCGGTGGGGGCAACGGCCAGAGTCGCCCGCGCGGCGCCAGCCTGCTAATCTGAACAAACTCTCGGGCGCCGCGACGACGGCCTCCATCAGTTCTATTCTACTGCAGAAGCGACTGTGGCGCCGCGTCACGTGACGGACAAGCATCCGGCTGGATCATAACCATGATCATAACCGGAATAAATGACACCCAAAAAGATATGTTCTCAATTCAAGAACTGTACTTAGATGTATGGAACCAACATCTTGTTTTAAGGGAGAAATAGGAGTTAAAGTAAGAATATGCTCTCTTTGAATGAAGAACACACTTTTTGGGGTACAAAAAAAACCATCGCGCGTTACAAAATCATTATCATTAGAGCATTCCTTTATTTGAATAGTCGCTGAAAAGGACTGACGATCCAAAACAATCGCCCAAAAATCATCACTTAAATGGTGCAACCGGTGCAACGCAAACGAGAGGGGCTTTAATTGTGCAACGAGCATTTCCAGTGGCGAGCAAGGCCTCCCCCCC